CATAAAGTTTTTAAATAAATTACTGTTATATATACAAGAATATACAAGAATTTCAATCTAGCCATCTAAACAAGCAATACGCAAACTGTGCACAACCTACAATTTTGATTGAGGTAGTCAAGACCCAATTAAAGCCCGTATGAATTTTATTGATCGTCACGACAGATATTTTTTGTTTTAAGGAGTCTGCGTAGTAACACGGTCTAATATGGCCTGATAACGAATAAATAGATCAGGTCACGCACAGAAAACTTCTTCACATTTTCCAGACAAAGATAGTGAGGTCATCATATCAAATGTACGATATCAGTGCTTCTAGCTTTCTGATTATAAACCTCAAACCAGGATTTATCGCTATTGTGACTATCGCCACATGCAAAAGTTTATCGGAGGTTTATAGAGCAAACACAACACAGCTGGTTTGTTTATGCAGTTGTACTTTTTCTGTCAGTCAGATTACATGTTTGTGAACCAATCGTGCGTGTCACTCATTTTGTGGGGAAGGAACCTCACAATCCTGGTAAATTGACAATGACATTGTTTTTTATTTACATTAACTTTCTAACGCTATGGCATTGTGGTCCGCGCGTTGTAGATCTTAGACACAAATGGACGTCAAGATCTCGTTTGGAGCGAGAGAGCTACGAGATTTTATGTTTAAGGTCAAATCAAGTCTCGCGAGACGCTCGTCATCAACGAGATATCGGTGGAATTTATTTCAGGTTACGTTTATAATGTGATCGATGTATGGCGTAAGTAGCTGAAACCGTGTTAGAGCGCTATAAATAACACTGCCGACTACACCGCCTGTTCATACAGTAACACGTTTATCCGCAGTCGAAGAAGGCAAAAGATCAAATGAATCCGGTAAAGATCAGTGGATATTTAATCAAATGATCAAGTAGGCTGACGACCAAAGACTAGTCTCTTGTGTAATTACCCACAGATTATCACGGTAACTCGCAGCTAATTGGAATTTTGGTGTGGAAACGAGCGGCCGACAATTCATGCCAAAATTAGAAACATACGCGTAAAAGTTATCATGATAGGATTCTTTTCGTCTGGATAGAATTGATACGACTTACATGCGTTTAATGTTGTGACAATGTAATACACTTCATGGTATATCATGCATTACTAATAATAAAAGTGTGTTTCACTTGCAAAACAAGCAATTAAGGACGTATAAGACAGTGACAGATTGCATTCCTGGGGATTACCCATGATTCCCTAACGGAAATGCAAACGTGTCAAATTCTCTGGTCACTGAATCTTGATAAATTCCTTCGCTTTCAACAAATCCATTTTCAGTCAGCGTGTTTGGAAAAGCCTTCAAATAAAAGCTATAGATATGGAGTTTCGTACAATATTTTATCTTTAAAACACTATTAGCCAAACTAACTAAAATGATAATTTAAAATTATCAAGCGCAGATGCGATATTGATAATTTACAACATTCTGGAAGGCATTGGTTCATGTGCGCCACTCGAGTGAAACCATGTATGTAATACAGAATTGTAAAATAAAAATGTATAATTTATGCTGAATTTATCGTCAATATATAGATAGATTGAGGGCGATTACCATTTTTGTCTCATTTGCCCCCTCCATTAATTACGTGTCCAGTATATCCCGTTATATTATCGTAATGGTTAATATCCGGGTAAATTTATCGAGCACAGCAACCAACGTTACTATTTTACGCAATACAGGTAAATTTATTTACCGCGCGTTTAAGAAAGAGACACTTTTACTTAATTAGTTTGTCCTGTATATATTGTGCATTTGGGCCAGTGGTCTATAGTATTATATAGGTACATTACAATGTCCTTGAGTCACGTGATCATTTCAATAATGAAATGTGACATTCCCAAGTGTGAATGAATGTAAATAATAAAATCAATGACTAATTTGAATAATGACGAGTTATTATTATGATCACGCAGCCATATTATACAAACTAATATTCATCAAGGGATGCGTGCTTACAATTATTATATTTAGTTTGTAAGAAAGCCAGTATTAGTTGTTTGAAATATTCGGTGTACGATCCAATACGGATGCAAGGGATTCGTACCCATCTATAATAGTCTAATTATAGGGCTTAAACTCAAAACTTACATTATTTTTCTGGGGTGTCAGGGTGGTCGAGCGAATATTGGCTGCACAATGCGATTTTATGCTTGCATTGAAGGTTCAAACGACCAATACATAATTTCATATATGGTTACATTTTCTCAAACACATTCGAAACTTCCTTATATATATGGTTGCCAATCTACCATGACGACACATGCTTTAATTAAGCCAATATTGCTCAGTTTCTAGTTCCTAGTTCTCGAAAGACTCTCTTACATAATTAATCTAGCTTGTCGAGCTATGACAACTTTTTTGATATGATTATCAAGCGTTTAGTGTATACATTTGCCCGTACTGCCACCAGAAATTAAATATAGTAAAACTGTTAAGTCTCATACCACTAATTAAAACTCCATGGACAACAATGTTAGCGTTCTGGGTGAATTTCTCCAAGAATAAAGGTTCCAAAAATCAAAATATTGTTTTAATTTGTTGAAACCACTCTTACAAAATAGATGTAAAAGAAACACTAAGATTTGTTTATCTATCTTCAATATTCTCAGAAACCCAATCAGTTTGGAAGTGTCTAATTGTGAGGTGCCCAGATTCACAGGTCATCGGTCAATAAACAAAGATACACACACAAGTCTAACAGTACGCCCTCATACATCGCGTTTTATATAACACGCGGTGAAAGAAAACCTTAAGATTTGAACGCTAATTGGCTAATTGTTGGTATGAGACCTTAAAGGGAGGATGTCGACGTGCCGCGCATGTGCGGCATTTGTGTTGATGAACATTCATTTTCCCACAAACCAATGCTTGATAACGTCTCGGTTTGTACTCATTCGTCTGCGCAACAGTCAAAGTAGCCATCTTTGTTCATGTGAAACCCATATCTCGCGCATGCGTAGCGCGACGACCACGCCCTTTACTAGTTTATTAATGATACTCTGGACAAATGCTAAGTTTTCTGAGAAGCGTTGATCGTCATTACATCAGTCATTTGAAGTGCGTCTTAAAGGATTATGTTTTAATGCGAACTACTAATCTGGTTGATAAGGATTAAGGAATAACGTTCGTGATATAATTTCAAAATTTGTTGATCAATGGGATACGAAATCGTTGTGATACAATTGTACCAATTTGGAGCTGTTTAGAAATGCAAATAAAAGTAAAAAAACAGGTTTAATATGGTCCCATACGACGAATACTACGCGTGTTAAATACATTGTTTACATTGATTTCAAATGCGCGCTGTGTGACGACTATGGCTCTTTAAAATTCAATAAATGATTGACAATGTGAATAAACATTATAACCACGTTTACTTTTTTCCGCCCGCGCCCGAGCCAGCATCTAGTAAACAACCCCTAAAATGTCTTACTTGTACAACCTACGCACATATCAGTAGAAGGGAATACATTCAATATACTCATGAGGCTACAATAGTGAAAAAAATATGTGAAAGTGATATTTTCCTACAATAAAACGCTGGGAAATAAACTACAGGAAATGTTTGTGAAATACTGTGCACTTTTCTGTAACATTTTACCGGTACATTTTTTCCCGCAAATACAATCTCTCCCATCCAACTCTTAAATGCACAAATAACACAATAGAATGAGTAATATCTACAGAAAACTGCATGTGTTGGTTACAAGTATCGCACAAAGAACGGTTTTCACATATAAGACCGTTCTAAGGCGACTCTTTCTACCTACACTTTGTGTAAAGGTGTGAATTTTAGGTACACAAAACCAAAGATATTTAGATAAACAAATAAATAAATAAACAAACAAACAAACAAATAAATAAGTAAATAGAAAACAAATAAATAAATAAATTCTGCATTGGAAATAGCAATCATACATCAGTATTTATTTTCCGTGCAAGGACTCGATCCCTAATGTCAATAAATGTAGCGAATATTTCCGGTTTCGGTGCCTTGCTTTATTAAGAACGTGAGTGTAGTACTATTTTTATTGTTAGGATTTTCATAATATTCGTGTTTTAATTTTCTCATGATCTCGCCACATTAATAGCTAATTCCAATCATTCCAACCATATATACGATTAATCGCTAAATGTAACGAGTCTTCTCACATCACGACTATTCAAAATGGCGTATCTACACAAAGCAAGTTTATTGGTTGCAGCAATTCTAATAGGTATACCGAAGCCAATACAATTTGTTATTACCTTATAAAATGTATCCATTGCACCATTAAATCAATCACTAATGGTATGCCGTGGAATTACTCTTCCAAAACAAACCAAACCAAACATAAAAGATCTCTCTTGCACGTTTCAATTTGATTTATTCGCGTAAAATTTGGATTTCGAATGAAAGAAAGCAATTATTGCAAAATCCAAATAATTATCTTTCTGCGTATCAGATGGATATTGCGACTGCTATGGTGTATTATATTCCTCATATTATTGATTGTTTCGTTAATTTGTAGTCTATCCACAATACAGACTCTAAGCCTACGCCGGAAATAATGTGTGTCGTGGTGCATTCGTTGACATTTACGCTGCTCACGTGGCAAATGATTTATTTATTTTTTAATTCAGTCGAGGTAAATGTCTCGGAGGCTAGAATCCTCCAGCACCTAATCAGTTATAAGCTCATCAGTTGCACTCAATCTGTCTACGATGTGGGTTTTTATTTTGAACTTATCTGCATTTGTACTAGCATAATACCGTAGGTTTGGTTCTTGCAGCTTGCGTACACATCTGTGATACCATTCAAGTAGTAGTTAGTACTATGTTGTATTACTTACTATTGTTGGTTACTAATTACTTACTAGTTTTCATTTCTATCACTGTATTTATTATCATGCACAATACATCAGCAACGAATAGTAAAAACAATTTGTACGTTTTTCACCCACTGAAAATAGTTCGTCTGGACAAAATGGCGATTGATGATCAAAGAAGTAAGTAAGATATGTAAAACTTGATAATATATGCACAACGAGTGCGGAGTACGCTGTGCTGTATTTGGCTGAATGCACAGAATACTCATAATCTTATCTTAAACTATCTAGAATAATGGAAATTTCGTCACGGTTACTTGACATTTCTAAATAGAGGGGGGGGGGACAAGGGGGTAACTGGTACAGTTTTACGGGAAATAAAAAGGGCTTTTTACAATTTACAAAGAAAAAAAGACGTTTTTACAGTTTACAGTGATAAAAAATGGAACATTGAATGGTCCGAAGAGCTCTCCGACCTAAATTCTCCGCCATTGCTGCGCCGTGTGTAGACACGCATGCGCATATTACCCTCATAATGCTTTTCATTTAGTTAGAGGGCATTTTACGTCTTGACATTCAATTTTGCAGTGAATTGTGCCATCTAGTCGTTTTACAGTTTCTAAAATGTAATTTTCCTGGATTATTCTTTACGATTTTTTTATTTGAATGTAAATTCTTGTACATACCGAGAAAAATGACACATTTTTACAGTGTACGAAAAAAATATTTGATTGATTACGTTGTACGTCTAGCCTGTGATTACAGAATTACGGAATTTATTTTTTCAATTTACGTTGTATGTACGTAACACAAAAATATTGCAATTACGTTGAACGAAAATAACCCTTGCTTCTAAATAACCCAAGAAGTATTACATTCTGGAATATTTGTAGGTTGTCTCTTGAAAACAAACCAAGTGGAGTTTAAACCAATAAAAAGTACGACCATATGATGAGAAAGAGGTTTAATAACCTTTGAAATCAATATATCAATAAATTTGTTAAAAATACACACACTGTGGTATTTATGTTAAATCTTGTATTTGTGTTAAAGCGTGGGAGTAGTCACCTGCGCACGCGTCAGATGGTCATGGTGTGTCATTGTTTACAAACAACCCATGAGCCTTTGTGTTTGTTGCGTGTGTTTCTATCGTCGATTGAGACTCAATTCCCGCGCATGCGCAGGTGACGACCCTCCCGTTTTAATGTGTTCAATTAGTGGTTCCAACACAGAAAAAACGAAGCAAAAAAATGTATAATAACGTTCAGTGTTTTTATTATGTGATGAGCTACTAGCTCCGTGTGAAAAAATGTCGTTTTGTCGCATTCAAGTACGTGAACACATATGGATGTAAGAGATATTTGTTTAAGTAAATGTTTTATGAATATAAACATGACACAAATGCCCAATTGTCTCCTTGAAGTCGAAATGCGCAATGAATATATATATTAGCCACATGTTTTAAGAAATATGTGAGGCAGCATTACACCAGTGTTCATTATATGTTAGTTTTTAAATAGCAAAAATTGCTGTACCGATATCATGACAAATGACGTAGTGTTCCTACGTCATAAACCGTGAACGACAAGATAACCCGGTATATAATCCAAACTAGTACAATATTTGGTTAATTTCAGAAGTGATACTTAAAGTAGATCTAGCAGTTACTGATTGGTGAACGTTGTGTGTATTGTTAGTGCATGTCCTCTGTGACCTGGCCCCTCCCATGAGCCACACCAACAAATTACGTCATTGGTCCCACAGTCTATTGTGAATATTTCGTATTATGCGACTTTAGTAATTTCCCGGGGTACACGAACCGAAATGGTGCCGAATACTGTCACAGTATTTGTGGTGATTGATGATCATGTGACAACACCTATTAGTAAATGAATGCATGAACACATTGTATCTAAATATTATGTTTTAACGCTACACAAAATGTTTTTGTATGCTTTAGAAGATTTATCACTGTTTCCTATGGCAAGAATATGTAAAATTTATATGTTAAAATTTTTCTTTGAGATATGTGGTTTAAAAAGATATAAAGTGTATGTTATAGTATATTATAAAGGTAAATTATGATGGCTTTTAATAAGGACATTAATTTTATTTTATTTTATTTTCTTTTAATGAACATCTTGATTGTGAACCAAAAACACATTGATGCCTAATACTAAAACAATTAATTTTTATCTTGCCCGTAACATCAAAGATGGAAGGGAAGGTATATTAAAGGTAATATTTCTTTCCGGCTTCGTCGTCGTCGTTGTCGTCGTCGTCGTTAATTAATTGTTCTTGTGTGAACAATAACTTTACTAATTCTATTCCAAACTTTATCAAACTTGGTCACCTTATTCATCAGTATAAAGACTTCCTTTGAAAAAGACTGTATGAAAAATCATGCAAAAATTGAGAAAATCTACTTGACTGATCACTGGTGATACACATTCAAAGGTCACTGATCTCAGTGAAAATATGCATTGTTGTACTTGTTCAATGAAGCAAATCATTTATCTTGTAATTATATCATTGGTAATGTATCTCCCAACTCCCATGGGAATACTAGACTGGGTTTCAAAACCAACTCATGGAGAGAGTTTTTGCACAGTCTGATACACATTTGCAAACATAAAATCTTAACAGAAAACAAGATGTCAGAAAATCAATTTAAGCACTCCTATGAATTGGATGCCAAACTTTTGATCAAGATCTGAAGCCAATAGAAAATCAGAAGTTATCAAATCAAAAACAATACATAAAAATACATAAAAAGCAAAATCCACATTTTGAAAAGTAAATTGTACTCAAAAATAGGTATTCTGTATTTGACAAATAGTTCATTCGACAAATGAAAATTCACGGGAATTTGTTTCGGCTATTAGAACAGAATGATAGAACTTTTATAATAATAATAATTTATAAACGCGCTTTAAAACAAAGCTTGCAGTGTTTAAAGATGTAGATCCTCAGGAGGCAAAAGTACTGTTGACTTCTCTCTCCACTGGACATCAACTAACTATTTAAGTTGATTTGCATTACAAAGCAGAGCTTGCAACTTGATGTTTATTTTTTACTTTTTGAATAATACAGTAGTAACACAATGAATATAATGAAGCAGTTCAGTGTCTCATTAATTTTTTATAGACACTTGTACAAAATACTTGGGCAAAAGCCAGCTAAGATTTTCTGGTATCTTGCATGATTCATGAATCTATTCACGTCTAAATGCATCACTTCTTTTCTGAGATGCGGCATTTGTTTTTATAATAAAAAATCTGAATTACTTTAAATAAAGCTGGAAATTATGTCCCTTAAAACAATTAAACAAATTAAGCACAAATGTTATTGTAAGACGTTCGGTAAACTGCTTTCCCACTGTTGTTTCAAACCAAAACTTGTTTGTATTCAAAATTAATTATGATAATGCATATTCATATTGAAACATACTATGATAAATAGAATAATATTATATAACAAAGGGCAAGGTAACCAGAATTCAAGTATGTTTAATTTTGTCAAGAAATACTGTCGAATTATACATACATACATGTAACAAAAACTGAACCTGGTAACAAAATGTAGAAAGCTTTTATTGTACGAATTCGAGCATATCAACCTACATTCTCTGCCACAAATAATTGTGAATTAACTTATTACCTGATTTGTAACCGTTATATTATTTTTCGTGACACCTAATCCATCTAAATACCAATAAGACATATATATATAACACTAAACTATTGTCTTTTGACGGTCTTAGTTTTCAACATATGTACAACATCCAGTAGTGAATGCCATTCCTATGTGTAAACCTTATTTGATCAATATACATTCCTGTTGTATTATACACGGCGATGGGAATATTATTTCGATATTTGATACGCAAATAGAACTGAACATTTTGTACAAATGTATCACTTCAAAAGTTCTGAAAGATTTTTAGTGCGCTTGAAATCATTGTAATAATATTTAAAACGTCGATCAAAAGTCTTAGTAAGAAGAGTTTCCCGGCAAATACATATTAACGAACGACACCAGTCTACTATTTGGATCGTACCGTTATTTGTGTTCAAACTGACATATATGGTTTATCATTTCGTTTTTCTATGAATTCCACCAACTACATAATGAATAAAAGATTTTCCTGTAATTGATTAACCCATTAATTACGCATGCTGTGCTTGCACCTATTAGGGTCAATGGCCAGCAGCGTACGTCTCGTACATATACATACACGTTTCGTATCACATAGAGTTCTGCGTGGCCCTGGCATTTTGGGGTCATCGCAATACGACCTGCGAATGATCAGAACACCGGGAGTGAAACAGCCATAACAGAAGGCATCCGAGATAACAACATATTTTTGAAGTCACGTCAAGACAGATTGCTATCAAGCACGTCAATATTTTGATCTTGTTTACGCAGATGTTTTCAACGATAATTACCCACGGCGCAGCTCTGCCAAGAGAGTGCCAATTACAGTGATACCGACCCGCCAATTAAAAAGGCATTAACAACATTTTTGCTCACAGATTAATACAAGATTAGTAATACGCGCCAACTATTGTAGGTCGAGGTCTCACTTTAATGATGGCGCCTTTGAACATATGCGCATGCTCAATGATGATAGGTGAAAAGTCAACATGACATTACTAGCGATGTATTTATATACAATGTATTACAACTTACTGTGTGTCAAGTCCACCGGGAATAGGGCTATACAATACATATGCTTCTTTTTTTTGTTTTCTTTCTGTATCTTATTTCTTTTTAACTGAAACTGTAAAACTACTATTAATTGTTTAAGGTTGAATCATGGTCGATACGATTCTGGTGTCAGTAATATGGGTACAAATATGGGTACGGTTGCCACGGATAAAACAATTTCAGGAATTATTTGCTTGGCGGAGGTATGTGCTCTCCGAGTGCTTTTCTAGTTTGCAATGGTACTAGTGTTACCATAGTGACATCACGTACAAACGTTGCTTCCAAAAGATGTTACAAAATCACTTATGATCAACCTACAACAATATATAGATCTATATTAAAGCGTACCATGTATTTCATAAACACATTATACACTGATTGTGTTTTGTTGACTGAAATACGCAATGATTTAAAGCGGGAGGGTCATACCCTGTGCACGCAAGGGAATAGAGTCGAAAGCGACGATAACAACACACGTTAAAAACGCAAAGGCTCACGGGTAGACGCTTGTTTGTAAACAATGACACGCTATGACCATCTGACGCATGCGCAGGTGACGACTTCCCCGCGTTAACGTCTGTAAACAAATCGACAATCTACATGACGTCAATACGCACATCACGATGAAAGAACGACAATCAATAAAATATGTCTATTTATGGAATATTTATTATGAACGAATAATGAAATAGATGCGATAAATCTGTTATCTTTTGAGTCATACAGTGAACTGCGGGATGACAATGTCACGAAAGAAAAAACGATTGCGGGACAGTGAATCTAACCCCAATAAAATGTCTCGTGTCACGTGCAGGTCATTCTACTCAATTGAAAATTTGTATTACTAGTGGTTGATTCTGGTATAAGCGTTAAAAATATCCCCATGGTTACCACGGTATTATAACTTTTTGTTCAACAAATGTTCTCATGTGGTAATATATAAATATGTAGAGACATTTGTCACGTGATTTATAAGCTAATAAGTTTTTTTTTTATAAACCGCGCCCTCTTGTGACGAAGTGCTCTTATGACGTAAACAGGTGACACGAAGGCAGTTCAAAATGGCGACATCGTTTTGATCTGTGGTCTTTCATCAATGAAGAATATGTTTTTGGTAGATTTTACTGAATTTTAAATGACGAACGACTACACAACCAAACACAGTAGATGCTTTGAACAACATTAATATTATGTCATTTTGAAGGGGGATAATAAAATATTATTATTACACTGGCGTCCTCTTGACGTCACGGAAGCGCTCTACTGCTAGAGGGCGCTATTATTATGAATGGTGTATCAGAGGTCTCGTAATATATTGTTATAGTGTAGTGTTTTACCGAGACCAGAATTGTATATAATTGACCGCAGAATAAATGCACCATACTATGTTAAACCAAGTCAATCGAGAGAATCAGTTGCGTCCCCGAAGGAAGTTCCTTAGTTGTCCCTAGTGGTGCATCTATGTACGGTGAATGTGCTTTCATGTGATTTCCGATAGAACAGTCATCGTACGTTAATTTGTATAACATTGTGAACTGACTATGTTTTTCATCAAAGCTTAGTTAAACGTATCTTGGTCTTATTTCGGGAAAAAAATATGTTTCTGCCACAGTAAATGTACAATCCTTTTTTCTAGTGACATGACTACATTAAAGCGCGGTGGTCGTCGCGCTGCGCATGGCGACATTTTACCACAATCCAATGCGCTCTTCAAATGGAAATCTCAAGTATAAGGTTTGGCCTCTGCGCGACTTGCACTGAATATCGCCGTTGACTCTTTCGATACCTTCCAATCACCTAAATATTACCTAATTAAAGCCATCTTTGTTTATATGCGACCCATATATCTCCCGCATGCGTGGCGCGACGACTATCACCTTTTCAGGCCGCTTTTCGCAGAAACCCTGCAAAGAATAACATTAATATACATTCCACTTCCGTATTTATTCTTTTGACATTTGTGAGTTAAGTTTTGATTTAAAAATCTCGGTAGTTTGTGACGAGAGCGCGGCTCTACAATGAAATAAAGTATGAAAACGAGGGTTGTTTACTATCCTGTTACAGCTGTTTTGAAAGCATATTTGATTTATTATTATAGCTATAAAATATGTTGACACAGTTCACTTAACTTAACGGAGACTTTGTTTTTCACAACTTCATATGATTACATAAATGCCAAGTGGTGTTTGAATTTTAAAACGCCCTCTCACTGTAACATGAAAAGGTTTAGGCAGAAATAGATAACATGATGGTACATGTGAGATAAGACCAATTGTCATGTGTAAGCGCCTTGCTGTCTGTGTAATATTTCGTTTCCAGTCGAATTGAAATCTAGGGATATCATCACTGCGCACGACGTTTAGATATAATGCAATATGTGCATACTTTACGATGAAAGATAGAGGTCAGACAAATGCGATTATACATACACTGACTTTTTCTTCAAGGCTCAGATCTAGATATTGACATCACTTGAGCAGATACTCGTATAACCTTTCAAAATGAACTCCAAGTTTAGGTTACTAATTATGCGACGTCACTACAACGAATGAATTTAAAGGGCGGTAGTTTATGTATAATTGCATTTGTCTGACCTCTATCTTTTATCGTAAAGTTTGCACATATTGCAATATCTCTAAAAGTCGTTCTCTCCATTGCACCATGATTTTTTTTTTCAAAGTATTTTTTTTTATAAATTGAAGATATTGCCCTAACGTGGATTTTTTACAGACCAGATAACTTTTTCTGTCATCTTTCCCCTCATCAAATCCGTGGATCGTTCTGACAATTGTAAAAAAAAGTGTTTCTTTCATAATTCGCGTCAAAAGACACGGATTTCTGTACAAACTCTTGTGAGCACACCTCCATCCTTCTCTCTACAAACCATAGACGAGGGTCTATGTACAAACTTAACGTTCTTTTCATTTGATTTTAGTGTGTCGGCAACTTGATATGGGCGTGGCAGCAGTATTCGGACCTCCCACTTCTAAATCAGCCACAGCAGTACAATCGGTGCTCAAGGAGCTGGAGGTCCCCCACGTTGAAGCCAATTGGGACCACCGAAGACTTCACGATCGTTTCTCAATCAATTTATATCCAGCCCCTAGTTTGATATCAAGGGCGATCGCCGACGCCGTTGGGCATTATAAATGGAAAAAAATTGCAGTTTTATACGAAAATGAGGAAAGTGAGTATGAAATCAAGCTTTTTTGGCGTATGATTTAATATATGTACGTCCATAGCTTTTAACTAGTATCTTACAGCAATGTTAAAATTACCACGACCATGCACACGGTCAAAGAACAAGAGTGTGTTTACTTTAGATCGGCGAGGGCGCTCTTTAGCAATATGACCAATATGCCGTCGCAGTATGGCGCCGTTTGTATAAATTGTTGTGACTAGTCTAGCATTTCGTACGAATTATCACTAGCGTGAAAATGTTTCCACAAGTTTTATTAACCGCGACACGTGTTCATTTAGAAGTTGAAAAACAGAAGCGAGCAACGCCAATTCCCCCAAGACCGTTAAGCCATGAGTAGTTTATACCAAATCAATAATGAGCGATCGAATGAAACTCTTGGTTATTTCGATATTTGCTCCAATTCGAAAAAAAAACTAGCTTTTTTCCCGGAACCCGGTAATAAAGCTCATTTATACGTACAATTTTGCGGTATTGTACTGGGTATTTTCATCCTACCATATTAGAAAACGCGAATTCCAAATATTGAACGATTATGACGCGCGTAAGCGTCCTCTAATAAGAAAAACAAAAAATGGCTTTCCTCAGGGTTTGACAGGGCCCAGACAATAAAGGTAAATCTGTTCTAAACGTTTTGGATTTCGGCAATCCCATGATGTATTCCTGGAGGAAAAGATGTATAATAATAAGGAGGATACCTCAAAGTATGCTCTCAGACAGTAGCCCCATCGCATCGACCTCCGCTGCGCTTACTTTTCGGTATAATAACCTTATATTATTTCTGAATTGGGGCAAAGATCGAGGAACACCCAAGAGTTTCAACCTATATCTATCTAAAAGGTGAATATGGCGTCATGAAGTAAAATGATGGACCATCCAATTAGTCTTATCAATATTGTTATCTGTTAGTTCTTGAAAACCAATCGCCGCGCGTGCGTCATCGAATACATTCACACTGTAGTGTAACCATGGTATTCCAGTCAGTATCATTGATTTTCATTATGCTATCTACGTACTTTGCAAATTTCGGATTTTTGATTTGTTATAGGCTTGGTGAGGCTGCAGGATGTTATCAAGCTATCGTCGCAGCTTCATATTACCATCAGTGTACGACAATTAGTCCCGCCAAATTTTAAATCTGTGCTAAAAGAGATCAAAAACAGAGGTCTTAGTCACGTGATCGTTGACTGTGAGTTTGTGCACGTTATAGAAGTCCTTGAACAGGTAGGTCTTTTTTTTTCGCTTGGGTTATGAATAATCTCGTTGAAACATTGCTCACATATCTTGCAGTTTAAAGAGCGAGACCCTGTCACCATGACAATCTCATTTCAATTTTATTACACCTATAACTCTATTTTTTGCTTTATTTCTAGGCCTTAGAAGTTCAAATGTTGACTCATAACTTTCATTACTTCTTTACAAGTCCGGTAAGTTGAAGCTATGATTAGACCAACATTTCAAATGTTTGGCAAATACGAAGTTTATTCGATTAACAATCTTGATCGAAAAATGCCTCACTGACGCCACTAGACATACAGAACACGATATCGACATCTGTTATTATGGCGTGTGTTGCCAGCACAAAAAATAAATATTAGTTGAATAATATTGCAACTCTTGTTGTTGTTTACAGGATTTCCATCTCTTAGACGTCGAAAGGTACAGCGAGGGAGGGGTGAATTTAACTTCGTTCCGGATGATAAACGAGGATGACCCAAAGGTGCAGACATTACTTAGAGAATGGAGAATAAGACAGAGGGAAGAAGACGTTCCGCTACAGAGACGTAACATGACGGTATGTACGTTCTCATATCAATATTACACGTGAAAATAGACAGACAAGTATTGCACGCACAAACCGGGCGTAAATTTGTTTTCCTTGATACTTTCTCTCATGAATTCAAGCTTCCGCTATGACGCGGTTACTCAATTGTGGTACCGATTTCTGCGAAACTTCAATCAATGTTAAATTTCGTGTTCTTTAATCGCCATGCTTATTTTTACATAATTAATTATATACCCTCCAGAATAGGACTCACTGTTCCCATAGTAACGTGGACTGGTATCCTTCTCCTTTTCAATTGCCATGCAACATACCACATGATGTAAAATGCATAATATATATATATAATATTTATATATATATGCAAGAAAGTGTACAGTTATTGTGAGTTATGATACGCCCTTGCGCGCGAGGAACGTAGTACGCGCGAGACACTAAATGAGCCTGGGTAATGTACTAACTCGTATCACTCAGTGATTTACATCAATTCCTTTTACAGACTGAGGTGGCGCTAATCTATGACGCCGTTGATGTTTTCACCCAAGCTTTGGAGTCTTTGGATATTGGTCAATCACTGACAGTACGTGAACTGTCATGTCAGAAACCTACTACATGGCATTATGGACTCAGTCTGTTCAACCATCTTAGCTACGTGAGTATCTAACATTATCTTCGTTCGATATCGCTATCTGTAAAACGTATATAGCATCATCTCAATGGTCATGCACAATTAAGGACGTTTTCGATATAAGTTACATACAATGCGTGGTGTGTAAAATGTTGTGGTGTTCACAAATTCGCACATGCATTGAAGAAAACAAGTATAACCACCGTCATTTATAGTATCACGTGGATTATGTATTCAACATAAAGTAACACGATGTGTGCTTCCTTACAGGTAAACAACTGGCAAGGTATTACCGGCAGAATACAATTCGACGAAAACGGTTTGCGAACTTATGTCAAGATGGACTTGATGGAGCTTGTCGGTTCTCGTTTACAAAAGGTATAATTTTATTTTGAATAGTTTGGGCATATACATGATGTGCGTTCAATAGCATAACAAATTTTCGAATATTTCCACCAATAGTGCTTCCCTATTTTGAATAATAAGGAACTTATAATATATTTCTTTCTTCTCTGAATTCTGTTTTGATTATTTTATTCACAGAATGCATTTTTTGAAATGAAGAGAATATGACTGATGAGTTAGATTAGTGTAAACTCGTAAATGTTAGCATTTCAACTGCTTAATTTCAAATGTTGCAATACAGATATTACATTGTTACTTGGTTTAGGCCTATGCAAATTAGCTAATTAACTTGCATAGAAATTTACCCCATGTTAAATGTTTCAGGCGATGCTGAGTGTTCCGATGAAAACAATGTCAAAGCAAATTATGCAATTGCAACTCGATCCTAAATTTTGTGCTGATCATTTTTCCAACAATAGTGTGTATCTAATTTGAACGTGGTTACAGCGTTATATGATATCTATTGTTTCCATGGTAACAAAGTGGAAATAGGATCTGTGGCAGCCGCTGTTTTTGTGTAATGTGTATGGCAACTTTTCTGGAAATTCGACATTTTTATCCGGTCTGTAATGATGTTTTTGCTAAACGACCAAACCATTTTATTTTGTAATCTCATTATTACCGTCTAACTAATGTCATCGTTCTTTTTAATTTTAGGTGGGATTCTGGGAACCCGCCACGGGTACGAACTATACAATGAAATCTGGCCGTACGGACGACAACTCAACAGAATCATTGAAAAACAAAACATTTATTGTGACTACAATATTGGTAAATATCACCATTAATTAGTAGTATTCTATTTATATAACAATTAATTACGTGACATCTTGACGTATTCGTCACTGTTCAAGGTGTTAAAGAAGCTGTGTGAAGAAGCGGTGGCAGGCCGGAAGTAGACATTATTAAACTAAATATCACTCATCGATGCCTAGTTCGACGTCTTACAGCAATTTACAGGTTACAGGAAAAGCCTGATACGATTTGAAACTTGTTGACCTCTGACACGAGTCAATTGTAACACATATGTGTTTGGATATCTTAAAAATGGCCGCAGCTGATTCAACCAATGAAAAAACATCCAACATCATTAGAACTTAATCGCAAAGTACGATACAAATAAGTAATATTCGTGTTATCCATTTCAGGAAAATCCTTACGTTATGAGAAAGAAAGCAGAAAATGGAAAAGTACTGGTGGGGAACGACCAATATGAAGGCTTTTGTGTAGATCTGCTCGAGGAGATTAGTCAAATACTGGGGTTCAAATATAAAATCGAATTGGTGCCAGACGGCAAATATGGCGCTCCCGAGGAGGACGGTCAGTGGAATGGAATGGTAGGACAACTAATAGCAAGGGTACGTATCTACACTGGTGGTACTAAATTGCCACAGTCATTACATAGCCTGTTCAAATTCCGTGTAAATGTACAATTTTTCACGCGTTGTTTGTGTGATTTAGGACTTATAGTAAGCCATGGAGATAGAAAGGGTGAACACAATGCGGCATTAGTCAAGAGTGACTTTGTACTAGTATCATAATTTGCGTAGGAAGCACCAAAACAAATTAAAAATGTGTCTTCGCTAATTTTGGCGTAACAACAAAATATATTTTGACAAAGTCGCGTACAGATTCGACTGTTAACACGAATTTTCAAACTTTTAAGAATTATTCAGTTAGATCCCGTCATGTGAAATATACTGCCAGATTTGAGGTAAGGGGGCATGCAATGTAGGTAAGTCAGCTATATGCTGGGAACCCAAAATTATAGTTTTGCCATTTTACATTAGCTTTCAATTTTGAAAACTTAACTTCAAGTTTAGAAATTTAGAGTTTTAAAGCGGGACCGGGGGTCGTCACCTGCAAATGTGACAGACGGCCATAGCGTGTCGTTATTTACAAACTACCCACGAGCCTTTGCGGTTTTAGCGTGCGTTCTTATCGTGGCGCAGGTGACGACTTCTCCACTTTAAGTTAAATAGCCAAATAAGTCGGAAGGACAAACAACTCTTAGCTTAAACATAGCAACGACATTGAATCATGAGATGATTTAATTGAAAAGTGTGTAGGACTGAACTATTTTATGTAAAAAGTGAGAAAAAAAATTCAGGTTTTCGAAAGTTGATGGAAGATGAAAGCTCGGATTATGACACCAACAAATGAAGGACTTGAGTACTATATTGCAAAAGTTTTGTTTTTCGCTTTATTGAAAGTAGTAAAGGTCATGGCGTGTGTGTTTAAGCGCACATTCCAAAGCTGCCACACACAACAAACAGTTCTTGAACAATTTATGGAAATTCCTTTTTTACGTAAATTGTAAAATCGAAATGACGAAATAAAGTAGCGGCGGAGCACACAGGTTGAAATATTAAAGCGCATACTGATACTGAAATCATAACTCGATTGTGAATAATTCATTGACTGGCGAGTAACATCACGGATTAATATAGTTGTTGTTTCTTTCGACATTACAGAAAGCAGATCTCGCGGTGGCTCCATTAACTATCAGCTACATCAGAGAAAAAGTCATCGATTTTGCCAAACCCTACATGAATACCGGTATTTCTATCCTGTATCGCGTGCCTGAAAGCAAGAATCCTGGAGTGTTCTCATTTCTAAGTCCTCTGGATTTCGATATATGGTTGTACATGCTCTTAGCATACCTCGGTGTCAGCGTATCTCTTTTCATCCTAGCTAGGTTCAGTCCATACGAATGGTATAACCCACATCCATGTAACCCAGAGTACGATATGGTGGAGAATCAGTTTAATCTCATGAACAGTCTCTGGTATAGTTTCGGTGGATTGATGCAGCAGGGTTCAGAGGTCGCCCCGCGTGCGCTGTCTACACGAGTTGTCAGTGGGATGTGGTGGTTCTTCTCACTCATCATCATTTCTTCATACACTGCTAACTTGGCTGCTTTCTTAACTGTCGAGAGAATGGTGTCACCCATCAAGGACGTTGACGACCTGGCTTCACAAACTAAAATTGAATACGGGACGTTGTCGTCTGGATCTACTACAACGTTTTTCAAGGTATGCTCTGATCGTAGACCCACAGCGTTGTCAGAGTAGTGAGCGTTATTTTTGTTAGTTCGTTGGTTGTACACGCAAGCACCACAATAAATCCTGCTATTTCAAAATGGGATAAATGTCAAAAAAGTCACAGCCATGATATATTTACACTGGGCTGATTAAACCATATATCAATCGAATTATAATTAATGGTGTATTTTAACTTGCCTTTTTGCGAATTCACATTCTTGATAAACTAAAGGCGTATTCAAATGCCCAAGACGCACCTGGATAAGTAGTAGAGTTCATGAACTCTAGAGGGCGTTATGAACACAATACTAGTTCGGGTTACATCGCCCTCTAATTTTTGATTCCCGAAACCTAGGTGGGAGAAAGTAGTTCGACAATTAAAATGTTATAATTTAAAAACAAAATTCACTCCAATCAAAACCACCTATATTCGAGTTACACCTTGTCTGGCATAGAGAATATTTCCCGTACAGTGTCGCCTCAATTCCTTGCATTATTTCATATATTAAATCTGTTTTTACTTTTACTCCTCCATTTCACAGAATTCTAATATTGAAATCTACCAGAGGATGTGGTCGTTTATGAGTTCCAGACAGCCAAGTGTCTTCGTGAGCACCACGGAGGCTGGAATTGAACGAGTTCTCAACTCTAAGAACTACGCGTTTCTAATGGAAGTGACCTTCAACGAATACGTGACTGCACGAAACTGTAATCTCACGCAAATAGGGGGTCTCCTCGACTCAAAGTTTTACGGAATCGGCACTCCACTTGGTAAATTTAATTGCATGTGTTTAATAATAAATATTTCAAGTTATTACCTGTAAATTGCCTTACTGAGAATGCTAATGACACGTGATACAGTTCAACCAATCACATTTGTAATACATTTCAGGTGCTTCGTACCGGGACGACATTACCATAGCAATACTGCAATTACAAGAGGGCGGTGCGTTACAAGAGATGAAGAAAAAATGGTGGTACTCCGAGGGGTCATGTGAACGGAAGGACAAGAAGCAAGAGGCCAACGCCCTTGGATTTGGGAATATAGGCGGGATTTTTTTCGTACTCATAGGTGGCATCGTTTTAGGAGTTATATGCGCATTTGGAGAGTTTATATGGAAATCGAAACAGAACGCAGCACTAGATAGAGTGAGTTGTGTTTTATTTTATGTTATGCAAGCGGGATTTCTTATTTGCAGCCCAGCAATTGACATCGATACCACACAACATGCCCTTGACCATAAAACACAATATTAAATATATTGAAGATGCAACAGACAGACAAACTCTTCAATTTGTGGGAGTGATAATGTATAACATTATTATATATCAATGTGCATATTTGTGTTTGAAAGCTAAGATTGAGTTTGTACTGTAATATCACAGCAAGAAAAACTCTAGTCACGGATGATGTTCAACCTGTTTCAAACTGCTTCGTCATTGGGTGAAGTAATATTTCCACTTCAGACACTATATCATAGATGTGTCGTTTTTTTACTGGATACGCCTATTAAGGGCATGATATATGAACATGCATTTTCAGAAGTAGTATCAAGTAAGTGATACCAGAGGTACATTACTTGGGGTTTGTAACTACGGTGACATGATACCAAGATCCCGTCACAATCTCGCTCTCGCATAAGCGTACCAACTCAGAAAAATGCGAATGCGCATGCCCGAGGTAACTAGGATACTGGGATGTCCAGGTGGATCAAAATAGCTGCTCACGATATGACGGATTACGAGAACTATATTTTCTGTACATTTTCGATGTATTACATTTTTCACTATGATAGTGACAATAAAAGTTTTATTTTTTCATTACAAACCTTGAACATTGATATGTGTCATGTCAGAAGGTCGTAGCCTCAGTCTCGCTATCTACGAGAAGAGACTTGAATGGGATCTTGACATGATGTCACCATACAGTACTATGCGAGTTGCAAACCCCAAGTAATGTACCTCTGGTGATACATCCATTTTAAAGCAGGAGGGTCGTCACCTGCGCACGCACAGGAATTGTGTTCTAAGCGACGATACCAACACATGCTAAAAACGCAAAGGCTCATGGGCAGACGCTTGTTTGTAAACAATGACACGCTATGGCCATCTGACGCATGCGCGGGTGACGACTCCCCCGTTTTAACAATGGTGGATGTTTTGAGCTGAATTTTTTTTCTGATAATTAATTTGGTTCGATTCACAGAAATCTTTATGTGCAGAAATGGGACAGGAACTATCGTTCGCTATTCGATGCCAGTCAAAGAAACCTCTACCCAAAGATTTAGAAGAGAAATACATAGAAATGGCGCAAATCGGGCCACCACAAAGGCACAACCCTACTTCACCAAACCTGAAGAACGGCAGCACAATCACCATGCGAGAAAACGTGGCGTAGCCAGGAAAATGCAGTTTATTGACCGAGCAAATAATAAACAATATATAACTAACCAACATATTGGGAATTGACGTTTCCCGAATATCTCGTCTTCCATAAGAGCACAAATTCAGATCCAACAAGTGAAAAAAACAAACATTTTTCAAGTGGCGGGATTTTAGTGGACATCATCGAATGACTGACATTTCGGTAAACCGACATAAATGCAAACTATAAATAAACATTCAATATGTTCTCTGCCATGACGTGTACTTTTCATCTGTTGCTAGGCGTACATGCACGGAAGTGCTGACGTCATCACTTTCTGTGGTCATTTTTTTACCCGAGTCACTGGAGCAAATAAACTCCGGTAGAACGCACATTCGGTTCACCGTACCAGTTGTGGAGTTCGCCGATCCGTGTATTGCGTTCGAACGCCACGGTGAATGCCATGGATACTTTTACAAAGTGGACTTTTTATACATAGACTTTAGTGTGCAAATGTCGTTTACTACACGGGCTGAGCCTTATTTTTTAGTGATTATGTGAACTCGCGTTGCCATGGTAACGTATGTTTTGTATCCACAAGCTAACCTGTTTTCTTGTCGTTATGACGTCATCAGTCGTAGTGAGAAACTACCTGACGCTGAGAAAGGATTTTCTTTTAACTGCGGTCAAGACGACGAGTCTGGCCAAGTGACTTTCAGGTTGATTGAATTTAAAAACACGGCCAACTCGGTAGGGCATTGCCATATAGTTGGTATAACATCGCCGTCATCACCATGGGAACAGTAGTAGCAACGAAGGAATCTTGCTTATCATTCTCAAGATATGGGAATTCAGGTCATCCTCTTGCAACTTAGATAGAGTTATTTGCGAATTTGTTTATAAGCTCTATGTACTGATTATATTTATTCTTTCAATGTTTGCGACCCGTTTCGGTATTTTACAGTTTGGTGTCAGGAAAGCGTTCAGTGGTATTTGGAATGTTTGAAATGCAGCAAATCATCGCATTGGTTTACACATTATATATGTACAACGGGGGAACCACGCCGACGTTGAACAACACCATACATCCGGAAAACGTTTACGACAACTCAACGTGACACGCGTAGTGCCATTAATGTTCAATTTCCCGCGATTAACGCTGATACGAGGTCTTAAGTATAAGTTTACTGTTCAATGAAATTTTGGAAAATTCTGTAATTGTAATCATTCGGCTGCGGGTAACTTTTGACGACTGCACTGGGACGCATTTCTGTAACAGAGAACACCAATTTTAAATTCCTATGCAAAACACTTATTTCAGCATATTATGTAGGCGTATATTCTCAAGATGTATTTGATATATAGTTTATTGAGATCCCATGAGAAGTGATATGTCAAATACAAAATGTAACAGTTATTATATAATTATCAGTTTGGTATCCTCGGGGGCGGAGCTACGTCACGGACGTTCTACGTTGCTAAGACGCGCACCACTGTACCACGTATTTCTATGGGGCTTTGTGCGCGCTGCTGTGGAACGCCGTGGAGCCGGTGAAAACTCGAGAAAACAACACAAACTCAACTTTGAAGTAATCCTGAACAACCAAATTCATATATGTTACACACGTAGGGCTAATCTTGTTACACTGTTCAGGGGACTCTCAACAATCATCGCAAAGTACCGTTTTCTGCGAGTTTTTGGTCTTTGTTTTCACCGCGAGGGTTGCCAGGCGGTAGAAAATGCCCGGATGTCCGCCCCCGAGGATACGTTTAAGGAACAACAAAATACAAATACGTCCAAAGCAAACTACATCAAAGCTTTTTGCGCAACATAGAGGGCGATATAACTGTATATAATCATATGTACCAAATGAATGTGGATGATACGTAAATTAGAAGCCTACTCACACATGCCCAGAATTTCGTGTTGGCTTAAAAAAAGTTTGTCGTCACCAGCCATTTTTTTCGAGAACACGGTGGCTATGTTACAGAAAATAGAGTATACATATGTCAGTATTAAAACGCCTTCACTGCTTGGCTCAATGGTAGAGACAGTATCTATATCTCAAATTGTTGGCTGGTGGTATAGGTTGAAAAAATTACATAATTTTTAACAAATTTAGGTTTTAAAAACCAATAAAATTGTCATTTTGCATTGTTTTCATGAAACAGTTCTAAAAATTGCAGTTATTTGGTCAATTTTCAAAATATGATGTGTATCACACAAAAAAAGAATGCTGTTTCACGTTAACCTTGAACTATAACCCCATGATTGTACATAAAAAGCAAATTAACATTTCTTGTAATTTTGACCAATTTTCTCAAAAAATCACTACGAGTAGGCTTCTTGTTTAATGCAATCTTACATTTCGTTATACAGATAGAATAGAACATGACTAGACATACTACGGCAACGTATACGAATAAATCATGTATACCTATGTATGTCCACTGAAAGACCAGATCTTAATTAAATTACATTACATTGAGTGGCATAGTATGAAGGGGAGAACCTGTCAGAGAAGCGAGTGATTTGCATGAATCAGTTACGTTTAACGTAACTGTTTACGGATTTTCAAATCAACGAGTGAAATGCGGGACATTTTTCGGAAAAAATAATAATACATGAATCACCATGTTTGAGCTATTTTTTTTTTATAAAATACACATTATAATGCTGCAGGGCGTTCCTACTCTGTCTCAGTGCTAAGCCAATCAGAATAGTGTGTGTACATGGTGTTTTTAGAACCACCTGAGCTTACTTGACAATGAAGAACAAACACGTGATCATGCAAGATTTGTCATGGGAACTACTACTTGTAGAAGTCGTGAAACTTCTATACTCTTCTATACAGAAATAAATTAAAGTACATTTTCTTTATTTCATATTTTATTTACTTAAAGATCGTCCATTTGAAGTAAACGTAGTGGTTGTTAATATTGTTGATGAAGTGTTATATCATTTGCATAATTGATTGGTTTGTTTCACATTAAGTATATAACGCTGGTCGGACAACGCTTAGTGATTTTTTGCATAATTTACTATAATTTGTAAGAACTTGATAAGTTTTCTTTAATATCTTCATATAGAGGCTGACCATATTTGAAGGAATACTTTAATATTAAAAACTTTATATTGACAATTCCAGAATAATACAAAATACGATAGGTTGCATCGAAAAAAAAGTTTTTGTTTTTCACATTCTTGACCATACAACTGTACGATTTGCATGGAGTAAGTAATCGTTAGTGTTAAAAACATTAATAGTTACATATGATCAAATACTCGTGTTTTTACACAAATATATCACATTTATTGGTCGGAAAGTATGTTTTTTTTTAAAAAACAAATACCTGTTACGACCAGTCAGGGTATTGTGCATAATAGTACGTTGATCTTTTTAACATTATATGCTTTCAGGCTGAATGATGATGTGATATGCCGGACACCAATTTCTATCAGGTCTTTATCTATATTTAAAAAAATAAAACAAATTATGTGGATTCACAATTCAAAATTCAACTTTGTTGTTTAAATAGTTCGTTCAAAATCACTCGTACACACTGGATAACATGTTTTACGCTCCAGCATATCGCGTCTAAGAACGCCGCAAAATAACACAACAACATCGAAGGAAATTATATAGAGGATATTTCATCTTTAAGACATTGTTCTAATATGCTAAAGCGGGAGGGTCGTCACCTGCGCACGCGCGGGAATTGAGTCCCAGGCGACAATAACAACACACGCTACAAACGCAAAGGCTCATGAGTAGACGCTTGTGTGTAAACAATGACACGCTATGACATATGACGCATGCGCAGGTGACGACTTCCCCGCTTTAATTGTGAGTTTCAGTTTATTTTATAAACACATTTTAGATGTAATTACCGAAGTTACCCACAATTTCTTCGAGATTGTTGTTATGACAACGTGATTTACGTTTCATTTTGATGTTTATTTAAACACATCTTTGCTATTATTATGATAATATATGCTGCGTTTTAGTGTTGTGTAAATTTAACTTCTGAGCAGTAAGAAGTAGCAGCTTTATTGAAATGCTTTGAATATCGTTGATGATGATAATAATAATAATAATAACAATAATAATAATGATAATAAAACCATCTACATTTACGTGTTTGTTATTTTTTATTCATAGTGACGTAAATGCATAATTTCGTAGTTATCCGTGGTTAATGATGCTTGGACAACTTGTTATACCAATTAATCTTCCATGTAATTATATCATAGGTAGCATCGTTCGAATCGCACGGTTAAATCATCCTGTGGTACCGTGTGTGATTCTACAAAGTAGTCTCGTATTTGACACTATAAAATACAGAGATATGATTGGACGTGCCTCAAAAACAATCAGAATTGGCGTGGTAATTCAGTAATGAAATAAAAACAAAGGGGAATGTCAAATTGACAATAGAGGGCGCATTTTGAAACATCCTCCATGAACATGAGCTGCCAATGTATGATGGTTAGGTCATGGAAGAATAAACGCGCCTCGGATCACCATTCACTATTTCATGAGCTGATATACATTATTTTACTTTCCCTATTCATTCTACGAGCATAAATCACTTGCACAATAACTTGCGCTATCTATACGTGACGAAGTATTTCTGTGACGTCAGAGAGTAAATACACTCATTTGTTGGTATGTTATGTTGTCGTCCGTACAAATAATATTATTATTGTATTTATTTGCAAACGGTCGTCGGACAATTCAAAACAATATCGACGATATATTCACTATACACCCATTTAAACCGTAAAATTCATAAAATCATTTAGTTGTATAACTAATAATACAGCTTCCGAAGAAACAGAAAAGTTATTCCAGCTCCACTTCATTGCAGACATAACATGTACTTAGTTGTGACAGGCTGCTAATCTACAATCTTTCCTCAAAGACGCAAGTCAGACGACTGCAATCGGGAATTTATTAGTCAAGTTAGATCAATAGGTACAATGTCCACTTTTCGGCAATAATCACTGAAGTCAAGATAGATTTTAAAAGCAACCATTAGGATGTATCTATGTTTTGACAGGCCAACCATACCGTGTGGTGGCGTGCTTCATTATGTAGTCATGCTGGAAACATCAACAAGATCGTGTCATCCATCCGTTGTTCAGTCGTGAACACCAAATTCACACCTGTGTTAATAGTTATGCACGTTCCATAATTATACTTTGGATCAAGACGTGGGGTCACTCAAAGTAACCATATTTTGAAAACAACTTTTTTGA